GGCGGTTCAAACTCACCCTTTGCTCTTTAGAAACCCTATACAGGATCACTGTGAGTCGGAACCAACTGAATGACACTTAGCAACAACCATAGAGATAGGCAGCTGGGTAATGAAATAGTTAAGAATTCCACTAGTAGTTGAAAGATTGGAAAGCCAAACCTACTTAAAGGCACATAGGAAGACAGTCCTGGCAATCTGCTTCTGAAAGACCAAAGCCTTGAAACCCCTATTGATGGAATCAAAATCATCTCCATGACAACTAAAAAGAACATCAACAAAGATTGTAATTGATGGTATGGGAATAGAGGCAGTCACAAATAGAAGCAAGTATGGATGAGAATGTAATGTTAAACTCTAAAGATCCCCACAGGATTTAAAAGGAAGAGGAAGAGAATGTCTCTAGAAATATATATGATTGGCAATATGAAATGCTGGAGAGAGACTTAAAATATGGCAATTGACAATTCAGACATTGTTGGTGCCATCATATTCAGAAGATGTGAGAATAGAGAATAGTGTAACCAAAAAAAAAAAAAGAATGGTAAAATGAAATAATGAAGAGAGAAGAATGACACTACCCAAGTTATGTACCCCATGGTATCTTATGCTTTCATATTAATAGTACCAATAAAAATAATGATTACACAAGGGTGAGTCCAAAATTATCTTGACTCTGGCAGTAGTATTTATTTTAATCAACTTTTAGAAAAGACAAATGCGTCATTTTCAACATAATCACCTTGCTTTTCAATATACTTTCTCCATCTGTCAGTAAGTTTTTGTATTCCCTTATTTTAAAATATATTTTTGAGGTTGAGCTGCAAGCCATGAATTCACCACTGTCTTCAATATTTCATCAGAGGTGAATCTTCATCCTCAAAGGGCTGCTTTCAGGGAACCAAAGAGGTGAAAGACCTATGGAACAAGATCAGGACAATAGCAAGGATTCTTTAACAAAAGAAAACAAGGTTTTTGCAGAGTGTCAACAGTGTGGACAGAGGTGTGTGGACATGTAAGATCACAATGCCCTTACATAGAACTACTCTGTCTTTAATCTGAAGTTTAAGCTTCAGCGCCTCAGTCACCATCTCACTGTAACAAGCACTATTGATAACTGAACGTTTTTCCTGATGTTGTTTTTAGGTGCCATAGAGTCTGTACCACCTCATAGTGAACCTATGCACAACAGTTGATATGAAGTGAGGGGAGACGCACAAGAACACCCAAAGTTGGAGATAGTACCTATTTTATCTGGCCTCAATGGCTTGATAATCAGAACTCAACTGTTGTTGCTGTTGTTATGTGCCATCGAGTCAGTACCGACTCATAGTGACCCTATATACAACAGAAAGAAACACTGCCTGGTCCTGGGCCAACTTCACAATTGTTGCCATGCTTGAGCCCATTAATGCTGCCACTTTGCCTATCCATCTCGCTGGGGGTCTTCCTCTTTTTCTCTGACTTTCCACCATACCTAACATGATATCCTTCTCCAGGGCCTGGTCCATCCTGATAACATGTTTGAAGTATGAGAGACGAAGTCTGGCCATTCTGGCCTCCAAGGAGCAGTCTGGCTGTACTTCTTCCAACACAGATCTATTTATTCTTTTGACAGTCCATGGTACTTTGATATTCTCCTCCAACACCATAAATAACTCAAATGC